CCTTCCTCCCAATTTTTCTGTGAACCTAAAACTGCTCTAAAAAAATTTTTTTAAAAAGATACTATTTGATTACACAATACTTACATTTTCCCATAAAATAACACAAAATGTATTATCTATGAGGACCTGGTAACTTGATTGTATTTTCATTATAATCAATATCTTTGGGTTTCTTTATTTTAAAATGATCTATAGTAACACTTTTTTTTTTCTGGTGAAAAGTTGTATGAATTTTAACATATATACAGATTCATGAAAACCCCACCAAAATCAGAACACAGAACAGTTAGACCATTCCAAAAACCTCTCATGCTATCCCTTGGTAGTCACACCCTCACCTCACCCCAAGACCCCTGGCAACCACTGACCTGTTCTCCACCACTAAAACTTGGTCTTTTTTCAAGAATTTTTGAGAATGCCAAATTAATGGAATCATACAATATGTAACTTTTTGAAAGTTCTCTGTGTTCTCTCAGCACAATGTATTTAAATTCATCCAAGTTGTGTATATCAATAATTTGTTCCTTTTTATTGTTGTATATTATTATATGCTATGGATGTACCACAGTTTATCAATTCACCTGTTGAGAAGCTTTGGGGTGGCATCCAACTTCTGACTGTCACAAATAACAGTGCTGTGAACATTCATTTACAGGTTTTTGTGTAAACCAGGTTTTCATTTCTCTAGGCTATATGCCTAGGAGTGGAATTGCTGGGGGTCAAATATATATTCAACTTCATAAGAAATTACCAAACCATTTTTCATTCCCATCAGAAATGTATGAGAGTTTCAGTTGCTCCGTATACTTGTCAACACTAGGTACTGTCACCATTTTTTCATTTTAGCCATTCAATTAAGTATGTAATTGTATCTTTTCGTGTTTTTAATTTGCATTTCCTGAATGTCTAATGATACTGACTATATTTTCACATGCTTATTTGCCATCCTTATATCCTCTTTGGTGAAGTGTCTGTTCAAGCCCTTTACTCATTTTTAAGTTGTGTTTTTCTCTCATTACTAAGTTTGAGAGTTCTTTACATATTCTGGATACAAGTCCTTTGTTGGGTATGTAGTTTTCAAATATATCCTCCTAGTCCATATCTTGTCTCTTCATTCTCATGACAGTATCTTTGGAAGAACAAAAGTTCTTAAATTTGATGAAGTCTAAGTTATCCATTTTTTTTTTATCATTCCTAAGAACTCTTGGCCTAAACTCAGGTCACAAGGATTTAGCTTATGTTTCTCATTTAGATCTATAATCCATTTTGAGGTAAATCTTTATGTAAGGTATGAGATTTATATCAAGGTTTATTTCTTTTCCTATGGACAACCAATTTTTCCAATACACATTAGTGAAAAGAAATATCTTCCCTCCACTGAAATGTGTTTACACTTTATCAAAGATCAAATGACTGTGTTTGTGTGAGTCTATTTCTGGACTTTCTATTTTGTTCCCTCGATCTCTATGTCTTTATCTTCTGGCTGGGTCTCTTTTAACTAAAAACAGATAAATTTGTCATGTGTCATGAGCAATAGAAGGGGGAGGGAAAGCAGCCCCCTGTGTTCCCAAGAACTAGGAACAATTAATTCCTCCCATCACCTATTTCCTGCCACTTCCTAACTCAGGTATCACAGAAACTTAGGTGAACCAGTTAGTTTCATGGTATAACAAATTAATAAAACCAAATGTCTTCTTCCTTAAAGGCTTTCTTCACACCCAGTGTTTTCCTGGTGATGTCAACTGAAAAATATGCCAGCCTCACATGACTCTGAACAGAGGGAAGGGAGTTGCACCCTGACTTAAGGAAAAGTTTCAGATGAAAATATAACTCTGTTTACCAGGTAGAGAGATATGAACATGGAAATACCCTACTATTTAATTTGAAAATAAAGTGTCATCCAGGCCATAGCAGGAGTTTTATTACGTTGACAGCTGGTCTCCGTTAAAAATAAGTTTCTGGGTTGCCTTTCAGCATTGGGCCATTTGAGTGAGGAAGATCCAGAATGACATTCCAGTGCACAGAAATATAAATGGATGGACACACAGCCAGATGGACACAGATCTAGATATTTTCCTTTCCTTTCCTCTAGCCCAATCTGGGATCACTGAGTATATACTATGTTGTAACAGGTCATCTTTGCTGTTTTATGCATCTCAGAGTATTTTATTTATTAGAATGGTCACTTTAATGTTTAAGGCAAAGAAATATTCACCACTATTCATTGAGGGTCAGTTATGTGTTAGGTTAGTGCTTCCCAACATTTTTGGCACCAGGGACTGGTTTCATGGAAGACAGTTTTTCCACGGACAGGGTTGGGGGCTGGGTGTGGGAGGGGGATGGTTCAGGTGGTAATGAGAGCTTTGGGGAGCAGCAGATGAAGCTTCGCTCGCTCGCCTGCCGCCCACCTCCTGCCATGTGACCCGGTTCCTAACAGGCCGCAGACCAGTATCGGTCCACGGCCCGGGGGTTGGGGACCCCTGTGTTAGGTACCGGGCTACACAGGTGACACAGAACAGACAGGGTCTGTTCATTGTTGGGGGCTTCCTCACAGCTTAAACAATTATCTCTATTTGGTCCTCTGAACTGTCAGATTTGAGTCACCCTGGGATTAAAAGAAATCTTTGAAAGAATAAGTCAGAATTTGTAATCTTGGTGAAGTTTAACAAATTTGTATATTTAAGATTGATCTGAATCAAGCCAACCCTTCCCCTTTTTGGTATGAAAATCCTGGCCACTAAGGTAAATCAGTAACAAACACCTTTGCTGGTGAACCAGGTGACATGATCTTCCCAGGGCTTCTTATGTTGATGGTTTAGGGTTTGAATGCCTTTGTTCAACTGACTTTAAAGAATAACTTCTTGGTCCTCACAACAGAAGTTGAGCTAAAGTTGGTTTACATGTTCATACTTGCATTTGGTGTGAGTCATGAGAAACAAGGATATTTATTTCCCGAAGAACGAGGGAAATCTGAGTCCATTTTTAATCCCTCTCAGTGACACAGAAGAGTGCCTTGGGCAATCTGTTGCTCAATAAATATTTGCTGATCCAATATCCAATTAGCCAGAGATCTCTATCTACAAAGAAATTTTGTCTTTGCCAATCTGTCAGAGCACCTGTGTTTGTGGGACTGCCCTGTATTTCAGAACCTTTGCCCATAAGGAACATCATGGAGCAGGGAACAGGTTGTGTCTATACAACACCCCATTTCCTGGGTACAGCATCCAGGTAAAATTAGACTCTAGTAAGCCACCCTGAGCACGTGCTCCTTCTTCTTCTCCCATGCTCCTCAGTTGTCCCTGTTCATTGCTTTCCCCGCTCACAACTGGCAAGTGTCACTGGACCCTAGCACGAGAGAAGAATGCCACTTTCAGCATTTTGATCAGCTGCGGTACTGGAGCAATCGAGGTAAGGCCACCACAGGCACAAAAGGATGAAAGTTTGTGCATCTGATGACGGGCGACTGGGGCAACCTTAGAATAGTAGGAAAGGCCCCACCAGAGGAGAGGGACTCCTGCATTAATGATTACAGTGAAGCAGAAGTAAGGACAACAGCAAGAACACCTGGGAAAAATAGGAGGACTTTGGTGAAGTTGAAAATGAGGTGGAAAGAGAACTCTGAATTGCAAGAAGCACAGAGGAAAGAGACTCTTGGTCTGTGAAAAACTGGTAGCTTGGAACGACTGACCAGCGGCAAGAGAAGGCAAAAGAAGAAGATTCTGAAATATTCGGGAACATTTGCTCTCAAAAGAAGGAGGTTTAAAATTACAAATGGAAGAAAATGAAAAGTCGAGGCGGTATTGAGGAGGGGCGGCTTTACCATATTCATATCAGACTGCTGGTTCCCAGAGAGGAGCTGCAGAAGCTGGACGGAACACTGGGATTATTAGTGAGGTGGGTGGAGCACGGAGCAGCCGGAGCTCTGATGTGGATGTGGCTTTCAGATGGTGCCAAGTTCGGGAAGATATGCGAATGCTGTGGTTACAGAACACAGAGCAGCCCGGGCGCCCAACATGGTTGCTGAGCACCCAGAGGATGCACTCAGAGGTGGGTTTGGAAAAAACACTTGCCTTTGGAACATTGCTCCGAATTGAGCTGGGCTCCCAGAAGTGCTCTAATACCTTTAGATCATCTGATAGCAGACTCTGATGTTTACCAGTTTCAGGGAGATCAAGCCATTGTGAAATTTTTTTTCTGTAATAAAACTAGCCCCAGCCAGCCAGACTGGGAATTTGCTGCCTGAGCTGTTTTCCAACATAGTTTTGCTGGCAAAACCAGATGTGAGTGTTTCCTCGACTCTTGAGGAGCCTGTTTACACTGACTTTATTTTTACTGCTAGCTTTCAGGTGGGAAGAGGGAGATTTAAAGGTCAGCAGGTGAGCGGAAGGATCCTGTCCTGCCATTCCTGGGTGGGTGTGCTTCTGTGTGCCTGTGTGTGTCCATACGTGTGTGTGTGTGTGCCTGTGTGTGTCCATACCTGTGTGTGTGTGTGTGTATGTGCCTCTGTGTGTGTATGTGCCTGTGTGTGTCCATGCCTGTGTGTGTGTGTGTGTGTGTGTGTGTGTGTGTGTGTTTCCACGTGCGAATTGTTGTGTCCTGATCACTTGTTTGTAGGCATAATCGTGGGTGCCAGGCTGGTTGTTTGGCAGTTTTGTTTATTGTAAAGAAGGTAAATCCATCTGTGGGGTTTTCTGGATTGGAGGGCAAGGGATATTTACTGTCAACAGGGTTAGAACAAGGAGATATAAGATACTGAGCTCAAAGGTGCATCTAGTGTCAGGATAAGAGCATAAATAGTTCGGAAGAAGCCAACTACAGGGCGTTTCCGTGTTGAATGGAACTTTTGAGTATTTGAGTGGGAAATACAACTTGGAAAATTGCCCTTCGGTCAACACACCAGTCAGCAGAGCTAAATAGAGTAAAATTTGGCTGGACTCGAATGCAGTTTCATCAACTCTCCTTCAATTCTTTTTTTTTTTTTTTTTTTAATTTCCCAAAAGATGAAAGATGGATGCTCACAATTTGGAAATGAGAGCTTGAATGAAGAATTGAGAAGGCAAGTCTGTGGTCCACATACACAATCCCAGAGAAATTCAGCACCCAGAGACTAGTATCACTGAGAAATCTACGCACAAGTGCTCTCTCTGCTGAGAGACAAACCAAGACTCTGCTGTTCTGCCCAGCATAGACCAAGAAGACATGAAATCCCTAATGGAAGGAAACTTAGAAGATTGCCTGCTGAATAAGGTAAGGACAGATACGGGTCTCTCCCATGCGCCCCTCCCACCCTCCCGCCCCACCAACCTTGATGCAGAAAGAATTTCAGCTTGTTTCCAAAGATACAGAAAATGCTTCTCAGGAATTCAAGACCATCACCCATAAGAGTGTTCAGGGACTTACCATATTTCAGTCCTCTCCTTGAGGTTCTAGTGCAAGAGGTACATTGGGAATAGAATGTGGAAGGAAGAGTTAGAACTAGGGCTGGAACTCCAGCTCTGCCACTGATGCCTGGGTGGTCATGAGCAAGACACTTAACCTGTCTGAGCCTCAGTTTTCTTCTCTGTAAAATGGGAGTGATAATAGGATCTTAGTGGGGTCTTTGAAAAAGAGTAAATAAGAAAGCTCTTTGAAAACTGTAAAACTGCTAGATTAAAATATGTATGTATTACCACTATATTTTTAGTATGCATCAATTAAGAACTAATTTAATTTCTTCTCTATAGAGTCATAGGCTCTTCAGATGTTAGAACTTGAAGGGACATTAAATATTATCTAGTTTAAGCCTTTCCATTTACAGCCAAAGCGATTAAGGCACAGAGCCACCCTTAAAACTAAAACATTTAAACAAAGAGTTAGGCCCTAGTCTAGGGTTTTCATGCCTTTACGAGTAAACAAAGCAGAGTTCATTATTATAATGATAAGTCAAGTTGATTTCTTAGGTAAAACCATTAAGAGGGATAAATAGGGAAAACTTATCATAATAAAAATTATAGCAAACAAAATGATTTCTCCTTTTGGGGGCTATAAGTGGAAGGGACGTTAGCTGGCATTTCCCCATTGTCCTGTGTTTTCTGAAAGAAAAAAATCCAAATATTTTAGCCTGGCATTCAAATAATACTTTATCTTTCTACTCTCTGCTTCCTTGCATCTTCAATCACAGAAATTCTAAACAAAAGCTCTCTATGTGGAATCCAGCCTGAGCATGTGTTTTCTTTGGCCTGCAGAGAATTTTTAAATTTTGTCAAATTTGTTACAAACATTTCAAAATAGTGAGATTTTGCATAGAAATCCAGCTTTCCATCTTCTCTGGAAAAAAAATCAGGTTATCTGGCAACCACAGGTCCCAGTTTCTTACCTGGCAGCCATGGGCTGGAGCTGAGTGCCTGTCCCACTGGAGGCTGCGGCACTGCTGGGGTCTGACATCTGCCTCCCCACCCGCCCCATGTGTGTCCCCTACTCCGCCCTGTAGGTGGTTGAGTCTGACAGCCCTGTCCCACAAGAACTGTGCCCTGAGAAGGTCTCAGGCCAGAGCATCCCTCCCCGCCACCTGGGGAGGTATCCTTTCTCTTCTTCATTTTTCTGGCTCATCCTCATCTTTCAGACTCAGCTCAGAGTCCACTTGCTCATGAAAGATTAATCTGACACCCCAACACAAAACGTTTGTGTCTTCCTGTGAACTCCCATCATAATGATCACTGATCATATTTATTTGGCGATCAATTGTATCTTGACTCCTGACGCCTTTCCTATTGTTATCTTGGTGGCAACTTAAATAGTATATCATTTTATTCTTTATAAGTTTCCAGAGGGAAGAACAGTGTCTTGGATATCTTTATTCCCGTTGAATTCACATAGTATCATTGCACGTATGTGGTCAGAAGTATCTTCAGGCTCATTGAAGATAATGCAAGACGAGTGTTAAAGGTGCATATTACCTCCATTTTAACAGAGGAGGAAGCAGGGCTCATGCTGATTAAACAGCGTGTCCAAAGTCACACAGTTAGTGAAGATGCTGTGGTTTCAGCCTATTCTCTTTTTACACCAAACCACATTTCATCTGCTAAACCCTCTATATCACCATAAACACACACAGTGCAAAACACAGTGCCCAAAACACAGGTCCGGATGTGACCTGCTTAGTGAGAGAGAAATTTTGTGTTTGGGTATCTTTAAGAGTGGCCCTATCTCACCTGCAGATTTTGCACATAACCCCAAAGGTAAAAGGAGGAAGTTCCCCATGCAGACAGCAAATGCTTAACATCACAAGCGCTACATAGAGATTTACTTATTTATTTAATTTAATTTTCAGCTGCATTGGATCTTCATTGCTGCACGCAGGCTTTCTCTAGTTGCAGTGAGCGGGGGCTACTCTTCATTGCGGTGCGCAGGCTTCTCATTGCAGTGGCTTCTCTTATTGTGGAGCACGCGCTCTAGGTGCACAGGCTTCAGTAGTTGCAGCACACAGGCTCAGTAGTTGTGGCTCGCAGGCTTTAGAGCGTAGGCTCAGTTGTTGTGGTGCACGGGCTTAGTTGCTCCACGGCATGTGGGATCTTCCCGGACCAGGGCTTGAACCCGTGTTCCCTTCATTGGCGGGCAGATTCTTAACCACTGTGCCACCAGGGAAGCCCACTACATAGAGATTTAAACAAGGTGCTGGAGGGGAAGAGAGCAGTGTGACCTCTGATGGGAGAGACGTTTCACAGAAAGAGTGATGACAAAGCCTTAGCGCATGCGTAATGCATAGGGTTTTAACAAGTGGAGGAGAGGCCTTCCAGCTACTGGAACCCCATTCAAGCAGTTAGCGGTTTTCATTCCCAGTCTCCTTGTCCTTGGGGAGGCAGAGCGGTGCAGTGATTATGAACAAGGGCACCGCCTGTGTGTGGATTCCTGTTCTGTGACTTATTGACTCCGGGACCCTGGGTAAGTTATTACACTTTCTGAACTCCAGTGTCGTCCTCTGTAAAATGGGGATTATCACAGCATCCACCTTAAAGGCTTATCGGGAGTCTCAAAGGAGCTAACCCTTATAAAGTATCCTGCGCACAGCAACGCCTCACCAGTCTTAGCTCCACAGTGCTGCTGTTGCTATGGCTTCTGCTGTTTGGGAGCTGCAAATATCCTGTGGGGCCCAAGCATTTGGTTCATGGAAGAATTAGTCTAAAAAGATGGAGAGTGTGATGTCTTATCTGTATGGATCACTGAATTTAAGTCTCCGTGCCTTTAAATTATTAACCCCTGGAAGACAGAGACAGTCAGTGTCTGCGCCCCCCACCCCACCACTTTTTTAAACTGATTATTGGAGTTAATGCAATTCCAGAATTAAAAGTCTGACTTCCTGTTGTCTAGAAGGAAGTTCTCAGCCTTTTTCCCCAGTGGCACTCACCATGGATGACATTCGCATTGGCCACACGCTCCTGGGTGTGGCCAGGCCTGTGTGGCATTCCTGGTGCACTATTTAGCATACCCCCTACCTCCCTCTCAGGAAAGCATGTGGGAATACAAGTGAGTCAGACTGATGTAATTATAAGGAATAACCTTGAATTCTCAATAATTTATATTTGAAACAGGAAATTGTTCACAAACTTAAGCTATTAATAGTAGCAAATGATGTGGGACAACAATGGGCCTGACGCTGTGCCTGGGGAGGTGGACATGCGTGTGGGCACATAGACAAGCCCTGGAGGGAGGCCCACAAAAAATGGATGGCAACCTTAAAGGTGCCAACAGTCTCTAATGACTGTTTCTGCGTAAACTCTGATTAGTTAGAGTGACTAAATCTGTATGCTAAGGAGTGTGGCATAACTTTTGCAGGGTCAGTGCAATGCAGGGGTTGGATTAGATGATCTAACCACATCTAACATCATGGGCCTGGTTAATTTACCACAATTCATTTCTGCTTTTGCTCTGCCACACCCACAAATGCTTCCCTTTAGAAACAAAGTGTTTCTCTTTATTTATTTATTTTTTAAGACAAAGTCTCTTTTACTTACTTATTTATTTATTTGGGCTACGTCAGACCCTAGTTGCAGCACACGAGATCTTCACTGCAGCTCACAGGTTCTTTCGTTGTGGCACTCGGGCTTCTCTCTAGTTGTGGTGCGCAGGCTCCAGAGCACGTGGGCTCTGCAGTTTGCGGCACGCAGGCTCTCTAGTTGAGGCGCACAGGCACAGTTGTTGCCACGCGTGGGCTTAGTTGCCCCTTGGCACGTGGGATCTTAGTTCCCTGACCAGGGATCGAACATGCATCCCCTGCATTGGAAGGCAGATTCTTTACCATTGGACCACCAGGGAAGTCCCAACCTTTGTGCATTGACCTAATCAGCAGAGGATGTGAATGAAGCTTAAACAGGCACTCAAGGTCAAGTTTGGACTGCATGAGGGGATTCCCTGGTGGTCCAGTGGTTAGGACTTGGCGCTTTCACTCTTAGGGCCCAGGTTCGATCTCTGGTCAGGGAAATAAGATGCCACAAGCCGCAGGGAGCGGCCAAAACAAAAAAATTTTTGGACGAAATGGGCTTTGATCCATCTTCTTAAATTATCATATTTCCTCCTTAAGTTTGTTTCAAAGTTTTGCTGTGAAATAAATTTAGTGACAAGGCTGCTTCAAGGTTACAACTGGTATCTTAGCTTGCTTCCTGAAGTTTGAGAGGCAACAAAGGGATTCTGACATTGGGCTGGCGACCGGTGGAGCCTCCTTCTTTCACCAAGACCACTCCCTGTAAAGCTGCCTCAGGCCCCATTTCCTGCTTTTCCACACAGTGAAATGGAATCTTCTTACCCATAGGCATGGTCAGGACAAGGGAGGGAAACAGCCTGGGGCTTCTGGGTTGTGGTTTAGACCGTGGGAGTGACAAGAGGTACGTGGGACTGAGCCTGGGAAACCCCCAGCCCAAACTCCTTTGGGGGCCGGTGAATAGCTCTGTGATCCTGTTTGCTCAGAACCAATGGCAGGAAGTGTATCCAGAGACATAGGCAGGAAGGGGCTGCCCATCACCTAACAGGAAAGCGGCTCCCCCTTGACTCCAGTGGCTTGGTTCCTGGGGCAGGCCTGTCCAAGGCGGGGCTCTCCCTCCGCAGCTCTGGTTAAGCCCTGCATCACTGTCCGACCCCTGCTGTGTCGCCCTTATGTGTCTGCGGCATGCCAGAGCAGTCAGTGTTGCGGCATGTCAGAACAACTTTGGACTTGTTATTTCATGAACTCCAAACTGAGGGCATGGTCAGGTTCAGAAAGAGGATAAAGGTAGGTATTATTTCTGGAACTCCTATTGAGGGTGTAGCAGTGTGACAGAAAGAAGAGTTGGGGAACCTGGGCATTAGGTCTAGTCATACTGCTAAGTACCAGTGTGACATTAGGAGGGCCACCGTGTCACTCTGGCCTTCTGTAAAAGGATACCAGACAAGATGATTTCTGAGACTCTTCCAATTCTAAGATCCTGGGTTTAAATTGCAGCAAAAGTGACAGATAAAGAAAATTAAAACCAGAATTTGTGGCTCTAGGCCCAGAAAAGTATTTCCTTATTCTGACTTATCTTCACACGTCAGAACAGGTCATAAAGAGGAATAATGAATGAGAAATTATAGGTGTCTTCTAAGGGGTGTCTGAACTTGTCCTGCCGGTAAGAAAATTCTACCATCAAATGGCGGCATAATTTGTAGATGAGGTTCACAATGGAGAGCTGTTCCCACTAGGTGCACGCGTGCGCACGCACACACACACACACACACACACACACACACACACACTTTCAAGCTTTTATCAGTTAATCAGTTAAAAATTATTTGATAGTATCAATACGGTAATGAATCTTTCATTAGTTTATTAACATAGGAAACAAAATGTGTCTGCATATATAGAGTCACCACTGTGTTACTAACAGTCAAGTTCTATGGACTCACATCAGTGGACTTGGAAGATTTGGGAAATTAGCCTTAGTCCTCAACACATTCTGAGAACTTAACTATTCGAGATTACTATTTCCCAACCATTCTGACTGCAGCGTTCTATCTAGTTAGCCCTTGTCTTACTTTTTCCCACTATTCCTGATCAGATGTCTGGCCCCTGAACTTGTCCAATGTCCCCTAATCTACCAAACTGGCTTCATCCATTCTTGGCCCAGGCTCGAAAACATGGCCCTCCACTGATCTCTTCCCTTGCTCTCCTCCAGATCTTGCCAGCAAACTCTAGTCTCAGCACTTCCACTGTTACCCCTGGAGGGCCGGGAGGTACTGGACAACCTCTTATAAATGAGCCCACTGGTATCCCACAGCCTCACGCACCCAGAGCTGAGTCTTGGTTCTGCCTGGCAACCTTTACCCATGTGCCCAAATGGCCCCTCATCCCTTAGAGAAGCTATTGCCAATGTCTGTCACCCTGAAGTCTCCTGCCTCCCTCTTCTCACCTCACTCTCAACGCACTGCCTTGTCTCCTGCTGACGTCAGGCAGGAAATCTCTATGCTTTTACCTGCATTTGCACCCATCTTCTTTTCCTTCTGACGCATGGAGACGAGCTCCTCACCAGGTTTCTGGACTTCCACAATGCTTCCTGGCTGGGAAACCCTCGCTCAGGGGTTTTGCTCTCTGCCTTCTTCCTTCTTCACTGGCTCTTTTCTCTCAGCATCTAAACATGTTCGAACCTGTGTGTCCTTTTGAAAAAACCCGTTGCTGTCCTTGTTTTTGTTTTTTCCTTCTCCCAGCCAGGCTTGCGGGAGGAGTCGCTTACCTCTGACTTCACTTGCTGGTTTCCCATTCTCTCTAAACCCACTGCCATCTGGCTTGATGCCCACGGTTTCCCCAAACACATGAGTCCTGTTCTAGTTACCAAACTCTACGGGCATTTGGGGGGCCTTATCTCACTCAGCCAGTTACTGTTGACTTTGTTCTTGAAATTCTTCTTCCTTTATTTTCAAGACCTCTCACCGTTTGTTCTCCCACCTCACCATTCTCCTCCAAGGCAACGTCTGCTCCAACAAAGTAGAAACAATTGCAGTTCTCCCCTTGTGCTCCTTGTGTTAAGTATCTACCATTTTCTCTTTCTAGAACAACCTTCTCTTTCTAGCTAACTCCTGCTAACCTTTCAAGATACAACTCTGATATACCATGCCTTCAGGAAGGCCTCCAGGCTAGATGCAGTTTCCCTTTTTTGTGTACCCTTAGCATCCTTTGCAAACCTATACTTAGCACTAATGGCTGTAATTTTAATTTCCAGTTTATTGGTCTTGCTTTGTCATCTTATCTGTCAACCTCTTGACAACAGTGTAGGCACAGAACCTGGCATGAAGTGGATGTTCAACAAAAATTGGTCAAATGGAATTGAATCCCAGCACATCAGAGAAGTCCTACACTGGAGAGACCCTTAATTATGCTTCTACAAGCACTTGCCTTTATTTTGGGCATGGCAAATGACCTGCCCCTCTCTGTGACTACCTTCTCTCTTCCACTTACATACTCCAAAAGATGCAGAATCTTGATAGTTTACAGATGCTCAAAAAAGCTACCCTTTGTCCCTTCTGCCATGATGAATGCTCTGAGATGAACACACGGAGAGGGGTGGGTGGCTGCTGGTGGCAAGAAGATGATATTAAAAGCTAGTATAGACCTGATCATCGTACTTAAGGTCATATAAGACACACGCTCTGCAGCATCTCTGAGGGAGACCCTTATCAAACACCAGCCTGCAGGTGCCTCCGGAGCAACGTAACAAAGAGCCCCTTCCAGTTCTTGGAGACTTGCCGTGCAGAGTCAGAAGAGACATCAGTGCACGCCTTTTCTTAAGGGTCTAGGAGCCAAAGGACGGGGTGAGCGCAGGGGAGAAGGGAACCATCATGTATTGATGACACACAGAAGACGATCCGCCGCATGTTCACGTGCCTTAGACTATTTTATATTCACCAACCCGGACAGCAGGCATTCTTATCCCATGTTAGACTCTCACCATGGTTCACAAAACTCTGTGGGATGGCCTGGCCCCCACCATCCTTTCCAAGTTCATCTCCTATCACCCTCCTTCTTTTCCTATAACCACAGCAAAGGCCTCCTTGCTGGCCCTTGAGCCTTGCCAAGCTTGCCCCTGCTTTAGGGGCCTTGGAATTTGCTTTCCCAAGCTGTCATCAGGGCTCGCTCAAATCTCACCTCCTTCGAGAGGCCTTCCCTGGTCACCGGTCTAAAATAGCAGCCCCTTTATTCTCTAGTCCCTTATGCTATTGTATTGTTCTTCTTGGGACTTATACCTGATCTTACATTATACATATGTGCGTACACATATATGTACATATGTTTGTGTGTATGTATGTATGTATACACACACACATACGCATGTGTCCTGTATTTTCAACTAGAAAGCAAGTATCTCTATCTTGTTCGCTGCTGTCCTGTTCACTGTCATGCCGAGGACCTAGAAAGCACCTACCGCAAGGCAGGTACTACGTAAATATCGAGCAACGCTTCATTTCAGAAAAGAACACTGAGGCACCAACGAGTGTCATCAGACCTAAGTTCATGTCTCCCGGAGCTCTTGGAAGGGCAGGATTTTCTGAGCTGTGCCCTGTCTCGTCACTTCCTTGGGGCTTGATCCGGGAATAACGGCCTTTGCTGATCCTTTCACACCCAGGTGGACTTGAGGCGCCAGTGGATTTCCCAGACGGTGGAAGAGGTGCAGAAAATTGTCCATCATCTGACCACAGAAATCAGCTACCAAGACACTCGATTTCAAGCCGTCCTTTACTCTGACACGTACAATGAGAACGTTAAGGTACGCGGGTCACTTGGCTCTAAGTGCCCACCCAGCGAGCCAGGAAACGGGGGGATGGCCTCAGCATGTGTCAGGCACTCGCACCACTAAGATTACTAACAAGATCTCTTAGTATTTACCACTTATACTCATTGCATAGATGTTACTGCAGCTGAAGCTCCACCTTCCTCCTTTACAGATGATAAAAATGGAGGCTTAAAAAAGTCAAATGACTTGATCAAGTCATATTAGGCACTAAAACCAGACCTCCACCTGTGCTTCTGATTCCAAAGCATGTTCCACTGTACCAATTAAAGTTCAGTTAAGCACACATCCATTTATTAAGCACCCGTTTGATAGATTGGGGACTGGGTACAGGGAACTCAAGGCATTGGTGAGAAAAGAGTTGAAAGTGATAGTGGATGGGCTACAGGTGGGGGAAGGAAGAAGCTGGAAGAGGTGGCCCTTAGGAACTGCAGGAGCAGCCTGGCAACTCTGTCCCTGCTGAGGAATCCCACAGAGCTCTAAACCCCCAGGGCCCATGTGTGACAACCAGCATTCATGCAACATTGTAGGATGGGCAAAGCCAGTCTCACAGAAATGATCTCACCCAAACCTGCACACAACCTAGTGGAACAGACATTATGGTTTGCTCCCTTTTAGAGATGAGAGAAAGGAGGCTCTGAATCATTCTGAATCTCTGTGTTCCTTTATCTTGATTTTTCTTGTGACACACAAGAACCTCTTTCATATAAGTATTAAACTTATGTGTACGCATGCCCCAGCTCTCACACAAGACCATAAGTTCCTTGCTTATAAGGATCATGTTTCTTGATTGCTCCCTTCCTAGCACCCAGCATAGTGTGTGGCCCATGATAGACACTCAACTTCTGTTGAATGAATGAGGAATCAAGAGAATTGGTACCTGAACGAAAGACCACTGCTAGTCCAGTACATTTCAAGTTTGGTGGGTACAAGGACCACCCACAAGATGCTGGGACTTGTGGATTTGGGGACAGAGTCAGACTTTAAGGAATTTACTCCAGGATGAAAATTATAAAATTAGATTGGATCCTGGAATGTCAGAACATCATCTGTCCACCTCTACTACCTTGCCAACCTAAACAGGACAAATATAGGCAAGTGACTAGGAAGAGAAACATAACACCACTTTTCCTAGAACTATATCTGGAGAAATTTCCTTCTGTGGTCGCACTTAGAATTCATAGCTTAAAGTATATCTTGCATTTATATACACTGTATCCTGCATATTATATAAGTTTTGAAAATAGTTACAGAGGGGCATATAAAAATGCTTTTACTTTATCTTGGCCCAAATTCAATAAGCATTTATTAACCACCATTTTTGTGACTAATAACATGATAGTTGTGTTCTTGGATTCATATGAAAGTGGGTTCAAAAAATGTATAGATTTGGGGTTTTTTGTTTGTTTTTGTTTGTTTGTTTTGGCCACGCCACACAGCATGCAGGATCTTAGTTCCCCGAACAAGGATGGAACCCGTGCCCCCTGCAGTGGAAGCGCAGAGTCTTAACCACTGGACCGCCAGGGAAGTCCCCCAAACTATATAGATTTTAAATGCCATAGTTTAGATCCCCCCTCCCTTGTTTTAATCCCACCACATTTCAATGGACACCAGAAGTCACGTGCACCCATCATCTAAACATCCATACTACTGTTCCATGAAAATGAGGCAGAATGAGTTATTGCTGATTTCGGTGTTCACCCCTGAATTCGCCACTGACTGGTCCCTGGGCAAAGGTTATTCAAATTCCACTGTCAGAACTTTCCGTGGAAAGGAGGTGGCTCTTCCCGTGTATAGCTGAGTGATGGGGAAACATGCAGGGTGGAGTGGGCCCGCTGTGTGATGTGATTAAAGGTCATTTCCCTTTGGTGGTACTGCACTGTGGACTAATTTGTTCTACCTCTTGGACTATTGGCCTGACCACTGCTTTCCCGGTTCCTGTAGAAACAGAGTAAGTAGATTCTTAGTGTTTACTTCTTCCCATTAAACTTAGAATCATCTCAATCGCTCACCTTGTCTCAGCAAACAGGCTTTCATGTCACCTGTGATTCTGTAAGGATTAGTCATTAACACTGTCTGTGGGTCATCCATACAAGCAAAAAGAAAGGGAGGCATTTTGCAGAATTCTTTCACGTCCTCTCCCATCTCCTCCCACCCTTAATTCATACCGGATCTTTCACCCATCCCGGGTCATTGATTCTTGACTAAGAACCAGCTCAGGAGAGACAATTAACCATTGAACAAGCAATCGGAAGACCTAAAGTCAAGTTCTGGCTCTACCACTGACTGGCTGTGTGTCCCTGGGGAGACTTGGAGCCCCTCTGAGCCTCAGGTTCCTCATCTGGGAAATGTTAGCAAAGCCTACCTCATGTGTAGCTGTGAACATGAGATAGGCTAATGCACAAGAATCGCAGTGCTTGGTAGGTGCAGAAAGCAGTGACTACTAGTTCCCCTCCCTGCTTTTTGTCCCCCTCCCCTCAAGCTTTAGGTGCCTCTAGAGTTCCGGGTCCACTTCACTCTTTTTCCTTGCAGATCCATGAAACCCAGGCCTCAATGAGTTAATTTCTTTGCCCGAAGCGTTACAATGGGCTAGTGGCACAACAGAGACGGAATCCTCTGCCAACAGGCGGGCAGGTGGGCGCAGTTCTGTCCTCCTTGTCACATTGCTAAGGGTTGAGTGGTTAACTGAGCGGCCTGGGTCAGCAGGGCGGCTCTCTGAGGGCTTGTCACCTCCCGAGTCTATGAACTCACACTCCTTCTCCCTCCTTTCCTAACCCCAGGTTTTGGCCCCCACCCAGCTCCTCATCACAGTCCCGATGAGAGGCCTGGCCGGGTACAGGGAGGCCCGGCAGCAGCGCTGGCGCTACTACACCCTGCAGGGCGCCCGGCTGCCCTGCCCCCTGCGGGACCCAGAGGGCCTGCAGCAGTGGCTGGAGGTGGAGCAGTTTCTGAAGAGCCTGTGGCAGTGGCACGAGGCAGATGTGAACATTGACGGAGACATTGTGCCTGCCAAGGTCCTCCAGGTGTTCCGGAAACTGGTCGAAAACGCAATTGAAACCTGTCACCTGTCAGGTGAGCCAATCAGGAAATGTACAAGGAAAATGTCTGGCATTTCCATTTTGCTCTAAAAAAAACCCCTCTGCTTGGGTGTTTCCTGAAGCTCACGCCCCTAGATTGAGGATACAATCATGTGCTTTTTACACCTGTCTAATCCCCATAATATGAATTAACTCTTTTTTATGCTGTGACACACAGAATGGAATTCATACTCACAACACACTTCCGTGGCCTCAATAGATTACTGCCCTGGCGTAGGTAAGACAGTCTTTGGGTTATGCACCGTTTCCAAGATGTTAGCTTCAAAACCTGGGTACTTTTGCAAATTACTCATCAACCTCAGATCTTTGTTATTAGCACATTTCCACTACAACAGCCTTCAACTGACTGCAGTATTCCAGTGTGCTGGGACAGCACATCTGGGAACCACTGACATACCAAAACACAAAAAGCCAGAAGCCATAAGGAACTGATTATGTTTGACAACCCCCAAATCTTTTTTTTTTCTTTTCTTTTTTATTGAAGTATAGTTGATTTACAATGTTGTGTTAGTTTCTGGTGCATTGAGTATAGTTCCCTGGGCTATACAGTAGGTCCTTGTTGGTTATCTATTTTATAAGTAGTGTATATATGTTAATCCCAAACTCCGAATCGATCCCTCCCCACACCCCTTTCACCCTTGGTAACCATAAGTTTGTTTTCTATGTCTATGGGTCTATTTCTGTTTTGTAAATAAGTTCATTTATATCTTTTTTTTAGATTCCACATATAAGTGATATCTGTCTTTGGCTTACTTCACTTAGTATGATAATCTCTAGGTCTGTCCATGTTGCTGCAAATTATTCATTCTGTTTTATGGCTGAGCAATATTTCATTTTATATATATATACACAACACATCTTCTTTATCCATTCATCTGTTGATGGACATGTAGGTTGCCTCCATGCCTTGGCTATTGTAAAGAGTGCTGCAGTGAACATTGGGGTGCATGAATCTTTTCGAATTATAATTTTCTCACAACCCCCAAATCCTAAGCTACTGTACAGTGTAGCATATGTGCACACCTGCCCACACACATGTTTCTGTTCACACAGAGTAAAAAGGTGAATTTCAAACTGGGAAAATGGCTAATTTCCTTAATTATAAAAGAGTATTTATAAACCGATAAGAAAAGCTATGAGCAGACCAATAGAAATACTGACCGAAAAGCACGACTCACAGAAAAAGAATGTAAATGGCTAGTAAAAATAAAAAATGCTCCATCTAACATACATTTCAAGAAATATACATTAAAACACCTAGTAGGCTGACATGTAATCATGCTCAGTGCAGGAGTGAGAATGGTTAAATAGGCATTTTCATGCATTGTTCTTGGAAGTGTATATTGGTGCCTCCTTTTTCAAAGGGCAGCTAGTCCATTTTTATTTTTGTTACGTGCTTACTTGGCAATTCAACAATTCCAGTTCTAAAGATACATTCCTGCAGATACACAAAGAAATATGCATGAGGATGTCTACTGAATTGGCTTTGTAGTAGTAAGTAATTAGAAATCATCTGATGGCTAACACAGGAAAACTGACTTCATCAATTATGCCACCTCTGCCTAGCAGGCTATTACGCGGCCTTTAAAAAGCACGAGGTGTGTCGATAATGGATTGGAGCCCCACACCCCCTGTCTATGCAACACCATCCACTCTCCATGTGCATATCGGGCTGTGTTTCTCCGAGAAGACTTGTGTTTGATTCTTCCTGGTACTCTCAGAAGTACCATCTTACCTAGATGATTTGGGAATGTAAACATCCAGGCCCTAAACACAGGATGGTGACTAACGCCTTTGAAATTCTAGGGAGGAGGGAAGCGCTTGGTTTTTGTTGTTGTTTGTATTAAATCAGCTATCCAGAGCCCACGAGAAAATCTGTCTATTTCTCTTAGTTCATAATTTCCCTCAAGGTACAGCTTTTCCTGATTCCAGGCTTGTGAGGCTTACCACCTAGCATAAGCCCCAGGCTCAGCCCATTAGACCTCCTCTCTTCCTCTCTGTGCAGTTTCTATACACAGAAGCTGTAAGTACCGAGGCTTAACGCCATGAGGGTACTTTGGCAATTCTCCCACTTAGTACTTTCCTGGGTAGGTGTTCTTGCTTCATTGCTAGTTTCAAATGATTCTCCTACTTTCTGGCAGTCTGATTACATACAAATAATGTTTTTAAACTTTTATATGTCTTATTGGCAGTGGGTTTGGGGATCTCCAATCCAACATATGACTTTAACAGAAATCCCTCCTTTTCATTCCCCTTTTAAAATACTTTGTTGACTTTTGCATTTGCATATATTTCTCATTGGTGGAGTAAATTGAAGTAAAAGATAAATTAGAATTAAAAAAAGAATGGGGTGTGTGTGGTGTATATATGCACACACAGAGTTATGAAAAATGCCCGTGCAACATAATTAAGTGAAAAACCAAATTGCTGAATAATATGCAACTCCACTTGTAAAGAAAGAAAAGGGTTTGCATGTACTTTTGCTTGTCTGGACAGAATAGTTCTGAAAGATTCTGTAATGGAAATAGCTCGTGTTGAATGGATTGTTACCATGTAGAGGGTGCGTTCATGCATTATTTCATTTAATACTCATAGCAACCCTGTTAGAGTTAGGATCATTTTTCTAACTGTTGTACAGACAAGAAGACTGAGATTTAGAGAGATTAAGTAACAGGCCAAAGGTCACACACCGAGTTAGTAGAGTAGGCGAAGCAGGGTGCGGGCCAGGCAGGCTGGGGCCAACATTTGCCCACCTCCTCACTCGGCGACACTGTTAGTGGTGAAAGTGCATATAAGAGGTTCAAACTGGGCCACGTTGATGAGGTACCTTCAGTAAATAATGCTGCAGTGCCAGACGTTGTCATGTTCCTGTTTGAGATGCAGACAATAAGCTCTTTATCACACCCCAGCCAAGGAGAGGAGTGTTTTCCTTTTGAACAGCCTAACACAATTAATAAATGAGTTTCTGTTTCCTTCTCTGAGCAAGGAAAAGCAAAATAACAGATCCCGATTCAAGACGGCTCATCCCTATGTACAACGAAGGCAAGCCAACAAACAAAACATTACTGTGTATCTGTTGAAAGAAAGGGGAGCAAACTGGAAATGAATTCTAACATATGAGCTGGAAAACCTTCCCTGATCCATTCCTTTTCTCTCCCTCTCTTTGCCTGGTTGGAAAAGACAGGGAGGGCTTCTTTCTGCTTACTTGACTATTCAAGCCAGCGGCTGTGCCACACTTTGAAGTATTTTATGATTTCAAGGCTTATGATGGATGATAAATCCATCTGAGGCTAGGCTGGTCAATGTGTGGTGGGAACAGATACCGTCTCTGAGACTGTGACTTAGTTAAGAGACAGGTCAAGCTGAACTCCACCAAAGGCAAATGAATAAGTAAGGGGTCTGAGGCTGTCCTAAATGGGGTCGACATCTGGGTGGAATGGGGGGGGGTTATAGAAAAATGCTTGGATTTCATCTTACAGTAGCAAAAGCTATACCTTTTCCTTGTATTCTCTGTCTCTTTCAGTTGAGCTTTCTGGAAAGAGTATTAATTTTTTAGAAAAGGTAGGGGAGGAGGATGAAAGAAAAAAGTAAACCCCACCAACAATGAGATTTTCTAGCAATGTTTCTATCAATATTTACTTAGCTAATTGTCTAGTGTTGACATAAACACGCTGCCCTGGTGTGCTACTGAAACTCTGAAAGTTGCCCCACCAGTTACAAGGAGCTGGTAGGAGCCACAGCTCACAAATTCCTTCTTTAAACCCTAGTATTGAGCCAAGCTTTGTCTTCCCATTGTCTGTCATTTACCACCAGGTAAGGTCAGCATGCTAATGGACCGCCCTGCAGTTCGAGTTGCCGTGGAAACCTCCACAGGTCCGGTGGAACTAGAGCTGACCCCCTCAGTGGAGATCCCCACCGCCTGGTCCAAGAAAGCCCGGTGGCCTTCGTGTCTGAGGCGCTGGCCTTCTGCAGAGAGAGTGCAGTGCATCAAGGTATTAGGCTGCAGGGTCTCGGCTCACCAGAGATGCTCTCACCTTAACCAACCACAGCATCACTAACCACCAACCAGCTTCGGAAGGAAAATTGAAATCTCACTAGATCTCCAGAACCTGCAGCGGCACCTGGGAATCTGTGGTAAATGCAGATTCCCGGGCCCTGCTCTGGCCCTAGGGAATGAGACTCGGTGGGCAGGGCCCAGCAGTCTGTGTTCTCACAGGCCCTCCAGGTGATTCTGGGGCAGGAGAACCACGGCCCAAGAGAAAGTGGACACAGCCTCCCCAGTTAATTGCCTGTGTGCAAGGGGCTCCCCTGAGGCTCCCTCCGTGTCCCCACGTGGGATGTGCTGCTCGCCCAGTGGCAGGTCCCCCCTCCTAGTGGACTGCTTTGGAGAAGGCTTTCTCCTCAACCAGCATCATCCTTCTCGTTTCCCTCTGTTTTTCTCTTCCCGCAGTCATTTGGGTTTAGCTTGTTGGCCTGTTCAAACTATCACTGGCAGCTGAGCTTCTTGCGGGCTGAACGGGTGCTGCTGGAGCAGCTGGATGAGGACGGGGGCTGCCGCAGGAAGTGTCTTCAGGCCATGAGGCAGATGAAGGAGGACGTCTGGTGTCCAGGGAAAAGACCTGTGATCACATCCTACCACCTTCAGGTGGGTGTGCCGCCCCGGCCTAGAGGGCCACGGCGGCTGGGGCTGGGTAGGTCCCTCTGCGGCCTCTGCAGGGTCACCAGAGCCACTCACAACAGGGGTGTGTGTGATGAGTAGGAGGGGGCCTAGTGTCCCTATTTGTCATCTCACAAATTCGTACTCCTTATGGAGATATACAGCCCCAGCCGCGTGCATGTCCACAGCATCCCTGCCCAGGGTCCCTGTCCTCCACCTCCTTTCTTCCCTCTCCCAGTTTCCCTCTTCCCTTTCTTCCTTTCTGTCTTGCCTTCTCTCCCTTTCCCTCTCCCCTCCTTTTATTTCACTCAACAAACCAACACAAGCGCCCACTATGTGCCAGAAACCTGGCTGAGGTTCAGAAATGAATGACAGCATGCAGTCTCTGCCCCTGAGAAATCTACAGTCTGGTGAAATCTTGGGAGTTCCTCAAACCTGAGATGGATTCACAGTTTCCCTCATGTTATGACTCATTCAGTCCCCATTCTAGCCCAAGTGCAGCCATTCATGCGCACACACATACACACTCACACACGCACCCTGTGCAGAGGAGAAAACCAGGAAATGTTGGGGGACCTGACAAACCTGGCAGCAAACCTGAACTTCTGGGTTGCAAATCACCAGGCAAGGACTTACCATTAGACAGCCAGAAATGCATTCACTCAGCAGATGTTTATTGAGATCCCTGTGGGCCAGTCCCTTGCCCCCGCACCTGCTGTGTGCTCTACACCTGGCGGTACAAGGTGAACAAACGCAGGTGTGGTTCCTGCTCTCATGGAGCTTGTGGTCCAGCAGGGGAGACAGACGTCGGTCAATCAGTCTGCAGGTGTGCATGGAATCGTGCCACGTCGGGGAATGCTGGGGTGGAGAGGAGCGTTGCTCTAGGAAGGCTCAGGGTAGCAGAACCTGACCTGGACCGGGGCATCAGGGGGTCCCCCCTGGGGAGATGGCCTTTGATCACACTCTCAGCTCCTTTCTCAAATTTCTGACCACCCGTGGTGAACTGGATGCTCGGGTAATACTGCATGCAGCACACTGTGGTGGGGGGAGGTATCAGACTCTTAGTAGCCCCAGCCCAGCTAGTATCCATCCTGGAGCTTCAGCCCTTCTCCCCGACCTTCTACACAGATGAGCACAGGTCCCTGGGGTGTGCGGTGCCTTCCTTGCATGCTCCTACCTGGGCCTCGTCTCATCCAGTAGACAACCATTTCCCAGCCCTGTGTTACTCTTTCAGGCCTAACACAAGCTATTTAAGGGCAACTCATACTGATACCTTGGTATCTCTCCCAATGCTTTGTATGTAGTAGTTGCTCAGTAAATATTTGCTGATCATCTGAATGAATGACTTCACATTTTACTCCACTTTCCCCCCCAGCAAAATTGTTCATCTTTGTTTTGCTTTCTTATCTTTTCTGATAACCTGTTCTCCCTGACCTGCCCAAGAATCTGTTAACATCTCATTTGCACATACTGGGGCCTTTCTCTCCAGTTTCAACATTCTTAAAGTGTCCCCAAACATGTCCCCCTAAAAACACACACCTGTTCTCCTGGATCGAGGACACGTACTTTCTGAAGCTAGTCTAATTCATTTCAGGGATTTAGCTTCTTTCTTACTTGCCTTACCACTGGCCACACTAGGAAAAGTCAGAGCTGAGAAGGAAACTCCAGGCGGTCTCATATCAAATCTCATATTCTTAACTAACCACTGACTTCGCTGCTCCACAATTAGGATGGATGAAAACATTTTAAGTACCGTGAGTATTTTAGAAAGATTGAATAGGGCCACCACGGGCCTCCCAGCCCTTGACTGCTCTCAAAACTGCATTCCATCCAGGATTTACTTGTATTCCAGTGGCTTCTAAATCACCTAGAGGATTCAGGGCAATTCCTTAAAGGCCCCCTGTTTTAGTCTTCCCTAACCCACCTACACGGCATAATAAAGTTGTGCATTCTCAAGAACGAGCAGTTAAAAGGGGGTTATTTGTTGAGAGACCGAAACAGTACTGACTGCCTTTTCCCCTCGTCTTCCACCCTTGTCCAAGGGTAGAATTCTCTCACATGGAGGCATCGGGATGGATGTGGCTGCTGGTGATGCAGTATGAGATACCATCCTGGATGATGGCTTGAGTGTGCAGGATCCTTGCCAAGACTTTAGTCTGGGGAAAGTGGAAGACACCGGGTTGCAAAACAGCATCAGGAAGGATGTGCCAATCATGGGCACCTCCTAGAAGGTCTTTACCTCCTCCCCAAAGAGGCTTCTCCCCCATAGCAATTTCATGTGAAGAAAGAGCTTATCTTTCATTGGCTTATTTATTCCTAAACCTGCTCAAAGGCACAGAGGCTTGCTTATAATAGGCTTAACTGCTTCTGTTTGCTTAGGGAGATAAAAGCTTAACTACAAGAGGAATTAAAACATGTTTTTTATTAGGTTATCTTGGCTAGCATGAAATTATCTCCAACTCATTTACTGAAAACAATGTACTCCAAATGAAAACACATTCAGTGTCTTGCTGTGAACCTAAAACTGCTCTTCTACTTTTTAGGAAAGTCTATATTTTCAAAATAGTCAACGTCTAAACCCAAACATTAATTATTTCACTCAGTCAATAAATGTCAATTGACTGCCTCCCGTGGGCCAGTCCCCCTGCTGAGTGTAGTAACATCAGTGTGAATACAAATAGGTCTAGTCCTCTGCTCACACAGAGTTTGCCATCTAGTAGGGAATCACCTAAACATGTAGGAAAACGACCACCACTGCCATCATTGCTGCATATGAGAAGTGTGGGATAAAGAGAGTGCTTAACGGGTGTCATAGGGAAGTTTGATCTGATGGATGAGTTTCCTGGACAAGCTGGGGAAGGAAGTACGCTCCGTGCGGAAGAAGTGGGTTGTGAAAGGCCCTGTGATAGAAGAGAGCATGAAACGAGGCCAGTGTGGCTAGAAGGAAAGAGCGAGGGAGAACACAGGGCGAGATGAGGCTGGAAAGGAAGGGAGGGACCAAACCTTGTCAACTAAACCATGCTAAGGATGGTATTTTTTAATTAACAAACAATGGGAAGACTTTGAAGTATTTTAGACAAGAAGAAACATAGACCGATTTATATTTCAAAGAGATCACGTTGGCTGCAGTGTGGATGACGACAGATAGGATGGTGACAAGAAGAGGTGCAGGCTGTGGCAGAGGTCCGGGCGAGACACGGTGGGAGAGGGTGATTGTATTGGGTGGATTGAAAAATACGCAGGCAGCAGGATTGGCAGGACTTGATTGGAGGTGGTGAGGGAGGGGAATGACTCCTAGGTTTGCGTCTTGCGTAACAGGCTGGATAAACAACCCTGGAAGCACATGAGGTATGTGGGGGAGGGCCAGGAGTTCAGTTTGGACATATGGACTGAGATAACTTTCAGATGGCCAAGAGATACCAGGTAAGGAGGTCAGAGGAGAAGTGTGAACTGGAGAAAAGAAATAGCAAGTTATTTATATTTAGTGGGAGAAGAGGGCCTGGAACGGAGCCCCCAAAACTCCAGCATTAGGGCAGGTGGAGGGTTAGCACTCCAAGGCGTAGCTGCACTGCTCAGAGAAACCCACTTGGAAGCCAAGTGAAGGATGGCTCAAGAGTGAGGGTATGCATGAGAGAACCAGATTCCACTGAAAGGTCAGGTAGGGTGAGAGCTGGAAAGAGCCTGCTGGATTTAGCAAACATGGGGATCACTGGACCTTAAGGAGAGCAGCCTTTGAGGACTGATAGCAGAAGAATCCATATTGGAGTGGGTTAAGGCAGGACATCAGAGGAGAGGAAATGACAAATTATTAAGATGATTCTCTGCAGAAACCTGGATTTGCAGAGAGGTGAGAGTTAGGGCAGGAGGGAGATGTGGCACCTGGGGAGCAGGAGAGCTTTGATAGATTTAAAAAGCCAATGAGGAAGAAGAAACTCAATCATTTACAGTTGCTGGAAGGGGAGATCCCAGCCCTGCAGAGGGATTTTCCCAGGCTAGGGGGATGCGGAGAGGAAGATACCAAATGAAGGAACGATGGCTGGTTTGCACGCACGAGGCACTTTCCCTGTAAAGGAGGCAAAGTCATCTGCCAGGTGTGGGGAGTCGTGAATTTTAGGAGAGTGGTGATCATTGGAAATGCCAGTGGAGAGAGAATAAATTACCAAAGAGGCATAGGAGACCAGCAGGAGGAGGCTGAGAGCCCGTCCAAGGCTGGGGATCATAAATCCACGGCAGACCCAGCCTGCCCCTGGGGCTCCCGTCTCCTCCTTCCAAGGCCACGTGGGCTCAGGAACGTTCCTGAAGACACTCTCCTCAATAGACTGGGACGATGCCTGACACCACCTCTTCCTTCCACAGACAGTGCTCTTCTGGACTTGTGAGAAGTATCCCCACCCAAAGGACTGGCGGGTCTTCAGCAGAGCGTTCCTGCGCCTGGTAAGGAAGCTGCACAAGTGCGTGAGCCAGCACTTTCTGAAACACTACTTCGTGCGGAAGAGCAACCTCCTGCGGTACGCCAATTCAGGCGAGCTGGGGGCCCTGGCCCAGAAGCTGGCCTTCTTCCTGCAGAACCCCCAGATCAGCCTGCCCTGATGCTGCCCTGCGTGGGACGCTCTTGGACATTTCATTCAAGCTTGACCTCACTCTCTGTGGATCGTTCCTCAGTCAGAGGCCGGGATCCTGCCCAGGAGAGAAGCAACGGACGGCAGAGGAAAATTCCATCAACACAGCAGCACTTCAGGGGGGAAAACCTGTGCCCCAAGATGTCTGGTCCAGGCCTCCCTGCAGCCAAGCAAGCATTTCTGCCCCCACTAGCTACCTCTTTGGGAGACGGCTCTCATCAAGCTTCCCCGAGCCATAGTTTCCGAACCGAAGACAGTTCTGAATTTATTTTCCCTTGCTCAGGCTCTGGTTGTCTGTCAGGGAAGATGTAGAGAGAACCCCCGGAAGGTCAGGCATCAGCCTGCTGCCCACGAGTGGTTCTCCAGCCCACTGACCACGGGCTCATTATTTTTCCATTTGTAAAATGGGACTGTTCATATGCCTCCCTCAGAGCAGGGCTGCGAGCCTACGGACTGTGCTGCTGCCCTTTCAAGGGGAAGGTGCTGGATCAACACAAAGTGTTACTCGTTGGTTCAGTGGCTGGTGTTTGCATTCAGGATCAGTATCTACACCACCGATTAAATGATGACGTCTGATGGGTTAGCATGCCCGTGTGCCCTCCAGTTCTCCTAAACTGTGGCTCTGCCTGCTTCCCTGGTGTTCTCTAAGAAGGGAGGAGTGGTTTTGATGACTAGTGCAGTCAAAGATGAGAGTACAGCAACCCCAGTGACTGCCCTTCCTTGCTTCCCATGCCGTGGGTCAGGGATGAGACATCCTTCTATTTATGGAATGAACTCGGTACTGTGATCTGCATGGAATGACTTTGGTGTCACTCACCTCTCGGTTCCTTCCTTTGCTCACTTAGCGGTTCACTTCCTCATTCATTGATAAATATATATGCATTAGGTACTGGGGATGCAGCAAGAGCAAGATGGGCAGGGACTTACCTGATGCAGATGACGCCTAATGGTAAAGACAGGAAATGAACAACAGATAAACACATTTGATTATTACAAATTGTAGCAAGTGGCCTGAAGAAAAGAAACAATATGGAAATAGAGCCACAGAGAGATCCTTGAAGGATGAAAATGCCAACAGCTGAAAGGGAAGAAAAGGGGGCCAAGGGCAGACTTAGAGGGGCTGGCATGAGCCAGATCACTTGGCCTTGTAAACCTGGTAAGGAATTTGTATTTTACTCTAAAATCAGATGTGTGATGTTTGACCTCTCCAGAAGCAGAAGGGTATCACGATTTGATTTGCATTTTAAATGCCTATTCTGGCAACTGTGTAAAGGAGGTCTGGGGACCCACACGAGGAAGGGGACACTGAAGGCCCTTGAGCCCACTCATTTTGAATTTCACCAAGGTCCTCAAGGTCACACATCCTGTGACACACACACACCAGGAATTCCAGTTCTCGGGAGAGCCGTAGTTTCTTCTGGCACTTAGTTACGCTTCGCAATTCAAGGGAATCCTTTATTACTTAGAACATTTTCCCCAGATAAATAATTTCTAGAAGCAAGAACTGCTGATTCTTTTTAAAATAAAAGTCACATATGAAAATGAAAACAATTATTTTTACAAAAATACTGTAACCAAGTGGTGGGGTCCTTGGACCATCACATAGGAAATCATGGTTTTAAAATGTTGAACAAACTCACAATCAGTGTATAGTTTTTGAAAACATGAAAGTATGAACAAACCAATATTTTATTAAGTCATCAAAACCTGCATTCAAATTCTCATATTCTTGGATCCTGAGAAACATTTTCGAGAAGGTGGCAGATATATATTTTTTAATGATGAAAACAACTGACACAAGTTTTAAAACAGCTGCACAGTCACGGAATGCCAAGTGAAAGTTGACTGTACCATTGATTTGAAATGTATGGGAGGGAGTGGGACTGACATACTCCACAGTCTGATTCCAGTAGATGCTTCCCACCTTTCCCTATGGGTTTGTAGTTTTTGAATGAAGTAGGGCTGTCTGCACATTCCTGGGTGTTCCTAACTGCTGGCCAGCAGAGAGCAGTGGGGGACTGCTTATGAAAAGAGCCAGGTTCCCACCCATGCACCGCAGAGCCCAGCAGGTGTCGCCCTCCTCAGCTCATAATTTACACCGGGCTTCTCCAAAAAGGGAACCAGGGACTGAGGACTTCAGTGGATGCAGAGTTGTTGGCCTTTACTGCCGTTTTGGTCAAAAACTATAGTCTTTTTGATTAAAGCTCAGATTTAAAAAGGGAGTGTATGAGAGGACAGTTCATCTATTCTGTTTCCTGGGACAGATTGCACAGCTCTGAAAGTCTAATAATATAATAGTACTCCTTTATTCGGAAGCTTTTTTTCTTTAATTCTCCAAAAGCCTTTTTTCATGCATCTCCACTCTTCTCGGCCCCAGACTGTTTTTCAGTGGAATCGTTGGCATTCAGAGACTGCAACTGATCTGCTTGCATTCGCATCCCAGCTCTTACACTGTACCTGCATGCCCTTGGCAAGTTGTTCAACCTCCCTAAATCTCCATTTCTTTATGGGCATTGTTATGGGCTGGATTGTGGCCCCCAGCCTCCAAATTCACATGTTGAAGCCCTAACTTCCAGTACCTCAGAATGTGACTGTATTTAGAGCTAAGGCCTTTAAAGAGGTGATTAAGTTAAAATGAGGCCGTTAGGGTTTGGGCCCTAATCCAATAGGACTGATGTTCTTAGAAGAAGAGGTAGAGAGACACCATGGGCAAGGGTGCAAAGGAAAAAGGCCATCTGCAAACTGAGCAGAGGCCTCAGGAGAAACCAGCAAGGCTAGTACCTTGATCGTGGGCTTGCAGCCTCCAGAACTGTGAGAAAATAATTTTCTGTCGTTTAAGCCATGCTGTTTAAGTCTGTGGTATATTGTTATGGCGACCCTGGGAAATGAATACATCATAAGAGAATATATACCTCACTACTTTGATGAGGGGGATAAACAGAGCAATGGATGTACAAAACTCTTCGTTTAGACGTGGCATGGAGTAACTGTGGAATAAATGTGTAGCATTTTAGATGCCTACTCCTCATGTCCGTTTGTCCATTTGATAACTACCACCACCCCACAGATAAATTCTTCACAAAGAAATTAGAAACCATCACAAGGAAAACATGCCCAAAATACACCACATATTCCATAAACCCATCTTTTCCTTTGTCACTCTTGTTGCAATAGAGGAATATCTCTCCTGATTTCTCCATGTGTGATGGGCTGGCCCCCCCAGCTTCTCAGGGCCGTCTTCCCTGTAGCATCCTCCACACCCTACCCCAATCACCACCTGCCTCTCTTCCCCCTTTTCTATCCAGCTTCCCGAATTATTATACATGTGTCTCCACTTCCTTACCTCTTCACACTTTTCTAATTGTAAAAAATATCATACATGCGAGAGTCTAAACTGTTTCAAGAATTATAGTAAAACAAATACCAATATACTCACTGTCTAGGTGAAAAAAATAACATTTTGCCAATACTTTAGAATTCTCCTAGGTGACCCTTCTGTTCCTTAGCCCCCTCTCTCCCTGAACATAGGTAATTGTGATCCCAAATTTTAGGTTAGTCATTCTGCTGCTTTTCTTTCATTCTACCACCTATCATATTTCATTGAACCTAAGCCCCCAACAATTGTGAGATGCATTATTATTTCATGTCTAAGAAAGAAAAAGTGCTGCTAAGGGTAATTACAAAACACCACTGATTATAAGATGCATCCTAATTTTAGAGGACGAGATGCATCCTAATTTTAGAGATTAAAAGGTGAAAAAGTAAATTTTAGAATCAACAAAATGTGACCTGCGGGACTTCCCTGGTGGCGCAGTGGTTAAGAATCCGCCTGCCAATGCAGGGGACACGGGTTGGAGCCCTGGTCCGGGAAGATCCCGCATGCCGCTCCGCAACTAAGCCCGTGTGCCACAACTACTGAGCCTGCACTCTAGAGCCCATGAGCCACAACTACTGAAGCCCGCATGCCACAACTACTGAGCCCACATGCCACAACTACTGAAGCCCGTGCCCCTAGAACCCGTGCTCTGCAACAAGAGAAGCCACCACAATGAGAAGCCCACGCACCACAACAAAGAGTAGACCCCGCTCACTGCAACTTGAGAAAAGCCCATGCGCAGCAACAAAGACCCAAACGCAGCCAAAAATAAATAAATTTATTAAAAGAAATACTGTTCTTGATAAAGATGCAGTCAGAAATCATTTTTTAAAAAATGTGACCTGCGTACATCCCAATTGTCTTTTTAGTTTTGCCTGTTTTTAAGCTTTATGTATATGGAACCATCCTGAACGAAGTGGTCTGATTTGCTTCTTATGTCCACAGTACACCTTTGAGACTCTCCCATGTGGATGCATGTGGAGTGGTGTGTTCCTTTTAGCTGCTGTATAATATTCCTCTGTAAGATTATGCCACTTTATATATTTATGTTACTGCAATTAGGCATTTGGGTTGTTTATAGTTTCAGTGATTTGAACTGTCTTTATGCACAGTTTTATATATGTCTTCTGATGCTCTCAAGTCTCTTAAGGGTACATACATAGGAGTGAATTTTCAGGTTCAAGGAATAAATGTGTGTTTAAGTTTATGAGGTAATGTCAACATATTTTCTGAAGTGATAACACTGATCTAAATTCTTTGTTTTAACATAGGTGAATTTTCAGTGACTTTCTCCATTATAATGGAGCACATTTTGTGTCTTGTTTAAGAAATTTTTCCCATTCATTTTTTTTAAGGTCATGGAGATATGCTCCTATATTGTTCTCTAAAATTTTATAGTTGTGCCTTTCACCAGGTTTAGGAAGTGCCCTCTATTTTTTCTATTCTATTATATTTCATGCATAAATTATTCTTGAAAGTTTGGTAAAACTCACCTAAGATGCCAACTGGGCCTTCTGTTTTCTTTGTCAGAAGACTTTAAACTATTTATTTTCTTTTAGGGATAAAGGATATTCAGGTTTTCTAGTTCTTCTTGAGCAAGCGTTATCAATTTGTATTTTATTAGAAATTTACCCATTTTATCTAAGTTTTCAAATTTACTGACAAACTTGTTCGTAATATTTTATTATCTATTTAAACTCTGATGCATCTGTACACATCTTTCTTGATAATCTGTTAGAGACTTATCAAAGAATCAGTTGTGAGTTTTGTTGATCTTATCCATTGTATACTTGTTTTCTGTTTCATTCATTTCTGCTCATATCTTTCTTTCCCTCTACTTTCCTCAGGTTTATTCTGATGTTCTTTCTATAACTTCTTAAATTAATGCTTAGCTCAGAAATCCTCAGTTTTTCTTCTTTTCTAACTATATAGATCTCCTCTTCATACCACTTTAGTGGAATTTAACAACTTTTGGTATATTGTGTTTTCATCTTTTTTCAGTTCTATTTATTTTCTAATGTCAGCCATGATTTCCTCTTTGAATTATGAGGTGCTTAGAAGTTTTTAAAAAGTATTATTTTCAAATTCATTGTGTTTCCTAATTATGTTTTTGTTACTGATTTCTAACTAAATTGAATTATAGTCAGAGAAAGTCTGAAAGGCCTCAATCCTCTGATACCCCTCGAGGTCAGCTTTTTAGCCTAGCATTTCTTCCTTATTTTATGTCATACAAAGAAAGGATGAAAGTTTAGATAAATGTTCAAGAAATGTCAGTTAGATCATGCACTGCTCAAATTTTCCATGTATCACAAATTGCCTTTTGGCTGCATTTTCCAACATTTACTGAGAGAGTGTTTTTTTTTGGCTGCGTTGGGTCTTCGTTGCTGCATGCGGGCTTTCTCTAGTTGTGGCGAGCAGGGGCTACTCTTCGTTGTGGTGCGTGGGCTTCTCATTGTGGTGGCTTCTCTTGTTGCAGAGTATGGGCTCTAGGCCCACAGGCTTCAGTAGTTGTGGCACGCGGGCTCAGTCGCTGTGGCTCGTGGACTCTAGAGCACAAGCTCAGTAGTTGTGGCACATGGGCTTAGTTGCTCCGCGGCATGTGGGATCTTCCCGAACCAGGAATCGAACCCATGTCCCCTGCATTAGCAGGTGGATTCTTAACTACGGCGCCACCAGGGAAGTCCTGAGAGAGTTATTTTTAAATCTTCCATTGAGTGTGGATTTTTCAATTTCTCCTTATCATTCTGTCAAACTTTTACTTAACACACTTTGAGATCATATTATTAGGGACATACAGATTTAGAATTTTTACGTCTTCCCAGTTAAAGATTCTGTCACTATAAAGTGACCTTTTTTAAACTATTGTAAATGTTTTGCCTAAACATTGATTTTGTCCGGTCTTAATATAGGGACACCACTTTATTTTGCGTCCCTGTCGCCTCTTATATCTTTTACCATCCTTTAACTGTTAACCTATTTGTGTCTCTGTGTGGTTGATAACTGTCTCTTGTAAATGGTGGATTTTCTAAAAAATCCCATCTGACAGTTGAGATCTGCAACTCTAATGCTTAGTCCGTGTGAGTCTCTTCCGGTGAATAATGTATTTGGATTCATTTGTCTCTTGTTATTTACTTTCTACTTGACCCATGTCTTCCTCTGCCTCCCACCTCACCTTCTTGCCTTTTAAAACCTTGAATTTTTTTCTTTTTCTTTTTTTCATTCCTTTTCCCCCCTTACTAGTTTGGAAGGCTCGTATCCTATCTCTGTCCTTTTAATGGTTACAGAGCCTATCCATATAGACTAAACTTTAGAGTCAAAATTTAGCCAACACTTTTACTCTCTTCTTTAACAAGGAACCTAGAAGGTGTGGCTCCTGCCATTCCCCGTTCCATGGCACCTGCTGCTGTGAGCCAGGATTTTGGTTCTCGCCTGTTGGCCATCCCCCCTGCTGCCACATACACACACATATGTAAAACAGAAATTTTATTTTTATTTTATAAATGTATTATAATATACTATTATCTATTCATATTATAAATCTTATAATATGTATAAAATATTATAAATTAATATTTAAATATTATTTTAAAAATATAACTTTATATACAGTATAAAATAATATTATACTATCATTTTATAAATAATACAAATAATCATTATTATTTTCCTCACATATTTGCCACTCTCTATACTCACCACTCCTTGAATCTCAAACTTCCTATTAGGGATCATTTTCCTTCTGCCTGGACTGTATGCTCTGACATGACCTATAGTGAGAGTCCACAAGAGTAAGCTCTCTGTTTTTATTTGTCTGAAATTGTCCGTATTCACCTTCATTCTTGACAGAGAGTTTCTCTGAGTGTTTTGTTTTAGGTTCACACAATTTTTCTCAGCACACTGAAGGTATTTTCCACTCTCTTCTGGCTTCAGTGTTGCTCTTGACAAGTCAATCACTAGACTATTTGGTGTTTCTTTGTGGGGTGTCTGCTTTTTCTCTCTGGCTGCTTTTAATTTCTTCTCCTCCCCCTCCCCCATCTCTTCCCCCCTCCTCCTCCTTCTCCTTCTTCTTCTTTTCTCTCTCTCTCTCTTCCCTTCCCTCCCACCTCCCATCTTTCTTTTTCTTTGGATTTGTTAGGCTTCCTGAGTCTGAGGAATTATTTCCAGTATTTCTGAAAAATTATCAGCATTTAATGCTAAATGTTGCCTCCTTCCCATTCTCTCTATATTCCATTCTAGAGGGAAATCCAATTTACATGTATTGTAGACTCTATCATTCCACTCTCTATACTTTTATCTTCTCTTTTATAATTTGCATCTTTTTATCACTCAAAACTGCATTCTCAATAATTTCTTTGGATCTATCTTCTAGTTGACTAATTCTTTCTTCAGCTGCATCTAGGCTAATGTTTAATCCATCCACTGAGTCTTAAATTTTTAATGTTACAGTTCTTATTTTCAGTTCTCATTTGGGCCTATTTCTCAAGCCTGCCTGTTCACTCTTTAAAATCTCTTATTCCTGCTCATGTTTTTAAGTTCTCTTCTAATTTGTTTAAACATACTAAACATAATTGTCTTATATTCCATATCTGAAATCTTTGACTGGTTGTTTTGCTGTCTGTTTGTTTATTTGTTTGTTTTTACTGATTACCGGTCATAGAGCTTGTTTCCTTGTGTGTTTTGTAAATATTTAAGGTGAACTGTTCATTTTCTCTTAAGACTTTACCTGTGAGAATTGTTTGAGGTCTGGATTGAAGTTGTTTGCGGTACCTGGAAAGGATTTTCTTTTTAATTCTGCCAGTTATCTGAGAGCGCTACCAACCCAAGGCCATTTAAATTAAATTTAAATGCTTGAGATTTTTCAGGCCAACAGACAGATAAATTCAGACAGAAAATATTTGAGGCTAGCTCATGGCTGAGAATCCTGGGAGGATTCTTTTCCCTCCACCCAGTGCCAAGGTCAAAGCAAGCTAGTTGCCTTCTTCATGGCACATTTATTCCTTATTCACCGTTATTCTGAGGATACAGCCTTTTGAGCTCCAGATTTATGCAGGAAAATACTATCAGGCTTCCCACCTGGGGCAGGCCCTAGATGATCTCATTTGTCCCCTAGACTTGCACAGTTGCCAATGAAAGGTCCAGATCTCTACGGGTCAGCAACCCTCAGGGTAAAAGCGAGCTTCGTTCACTCACCTGCCAGGGTTCCTAGTTCTACTTCATTTCCGAAGTCTATGGATTTATTACTTTCTTTCTGTCTCAGGGAGA